GTGTGGCCTGCGCAATACGGATGTCGAACCGGGCATTGGGCATACCTACCAGCGCCAGCAAACGGGTCACATCCTGTGCCAGGCCGGGCGCTGCTTTTTGGCGCAGCTCAGACAACTCGGTTCCTTTTTTATGAACTGCTGCCAGCAGCGTTGCCTGCTCTTTTTCCAGTTGAGTGATTCGGTCATTCAGGTTCAGCGATGCCTGCAGATCTGTTTCCAGCTGGGCCTGCAAATCGAGGAGCCCTTGGGTATCCGTCACGCCGTGTTTTTTAAATAGCTTATAACCCAGGTCTACCCGCTCCTGTAATTCCTGCATCAATGCAGGATCGAGTGTGATGCGTTCTTCCAGGTCTTCCAGCTCGGCTACTATATCTTTCAGCTCTTCGTGTACAGACGACATTCGCTGCTGTACCGGAACCGATGCGGGTAAAAGTTCGCTTAATCCCTGCAATTGCTGCGCCAGTTTTTTAAGTTCGTTGACTACCGGCTGCTCTCCGTTTTCCAGGAACAATCTGGTGCCTTGCAGCACGGAAATAATACGCTCGGAATGGGTCAGGGATTTTAATTGCTGATCGGCGTCCTCTACTTCATTTTCCTTAAATGCTGCAGTCAGGAGTTCATCCAACAGGAATTGTTTATAATCCGCTTCTTTTTGCCACTGCATTTGCTGGGCCGACAATTCGGCAAGCTGGCTATGTATGCTCCTGTATTGCTGATACAATCCTCTATAATCAGCCAAGGTCTGACCGCTCCGGGCCACGGCATCCAATACATTCAGCTGGAACAGATCATCCTGCAAAGCCAGGTGATCAAACTGCTGATGCAGGTCTACGAGCAGGGCGGTAAACTTGTTCAGCGTGGCCAGGTTTACAGGCGTATCATTAATAAAGGCACGGCTCTTACCACTGGCACTGATCTCGCGCCGGATAATGCAATGTGTTTCCTCATCGAGCTCATGTTCCCGCAGCACCTGGCGGAAGTTTTTATGCTTCGATACGTCAAAGTGTGCTTCAACAATACATTTTTCTTCTTTATTGATCAATACCGAGGTATCAGCCCGATCGCCCAGGATGAGCGACAAGGCACCAAGGATAATACTTTTACCGGCGCCGGTTTCACCGGTTACGGTATTGAGGTGATGATCCGGCGATAGCACCAGGTCATCTATAATGGCATAATTCCGGATGACTAACTTTTCAAGCATGTAGTGTCAGGGATTCTAAATCACTACTGCAAAGATATAAGCGCAGGATGGATTTTAGGGGTAAAGTAAGATTAAGTGTTGGTAAGTGTTCCCCCTGCTTCTTATAATAGCTGAAGCAGGGGATTATCCGGTGCTAACGCATTGTCTTGCGTTTATTGCGCTCGTAATCTTCAAATACAAAACTGCCCAGCCCGTCAAGAGATGAGTAAAAGGCCTTGCCGCCATTGATCTCGGTAAACTGCCGTACAAAAGCCTGCAGATAGGGATCGTTGGCAATCATAAAAGTGATCACCGGTGTTTTCAAA